CAGCAGTTTGTGATGCATTGGCAGGAGTGAGGGTAGCCAAGCCTTGGTGTCCTAACTGTGCTGTTCTCTTTGAGCAGAAACCACTTGGGAGCGACCGAGCGGCGTGCCTGGGAGCCCCGGGAGTCAGAAGAGTGCTGTGCTTGCAGGTACTGCAGCTAGCGAACAGGAGCAGCTAACTGGAGTTTGGGGAGGGAGTTCAGAGGGACAGTTTGAGGTGGGCTACATACACATAACAGTTGTTATATTTGTGTCAACCCCAACAGCTGGTTCAAAAAAATAGTTCAAGAAAGGAATAAGAGGGAAAGCAGTCAGAGGTCAAGCAGCAGAATGGGGGTAACCAGTTTATTCACCCAGTGTAGCATGTATGATTGCCTGCCCTATGGACAGGCTGCATGTATGTGCAAGGAGCTCCTGGTCCTTGGAGACCAGAATGGCTGAAACAGAGGAGCTAAAAGAGATAAAGAGCTACATGTCATAGAATCCTAGGGCTGGAAGAGACCTCAGGAGGTCATCAAGTCCAGCCCCCTGCCCAAGGCAGGACCAATCCCAACTGAATCAACCCAGCCAGGGCTTTGTCAAGTCAAGACTTAAACACCTCTAGGGATGGAGATTCCACCCCCTCCCTAGGGAACCCAGCCCAGTGCTTCACCACCCTCCCAGTGAAATATTTTTTCCTAATATCCAACCTAGACCTCCCCCTCTGTAACTTGAGACCATTGCTCCTTGTTCTGCCATCGGTCACTACTGAGAACACAGGAAGTTGAAGGCTGCTATCAAATCCCCCCTCACTCTTCTCTTCTGCAGACTAAACAAACCTAAATCTCTCAGTCTCTCCTCATAGGTCATGTGCTCTAGCCCCCTAATCGTTTTGGTCACCCTCCACTGTACCCTCTCCAATGCATCCACGTCCTTTCTATAGTGACGGGCCCAGAACTGGACACACTACTCCAGGTAAGGAGTAGTGGATAGCAGGACAAAAATGCAGTAAAAAAGTCTTTCAGAAAAAGCACAGTTAATAAGAATAGTGTTGCATCTGAAAGAGCTGATGTAACAAATCAGGATGGGGCAGAAGAAGCTGAAGAGAATGGATCAATTGACCAGAAGCAAGGGCACTAGAACAGGTGGAGGAGGGGAAAGGCTATTGTGGGGAGAGGTGTCCCAATCCTCTTACCTGTCCAAGTCGCTCTATCCCTGCCCTCCAGGGTATATAAGAGACTCTGAAACACAGTAGATGAGTCCCACCTGAGGTCAGACAGCCTCTGCTCTTGAGGAGGGTGAAGGTCTCAGGGAAGGAGAGCATCCAATTGGAGCAGAGGGAAATTATCCTATAGCTGGGAACCTCCTTCCACATGATGCCATGGTATCCTTTTGGACAGGGCTACTCAACACATGGGCCACATGCAGCCCATGGCCTGTTTGTTTGTGGCCCACAGTGCTGTTTGGGTTTACACGGGGCCCGTGGGTGGGAGCCGAAACAAAAAAGTTGTCAGTATAATAATGGTGTTCCGTAGATACGTGTTTTAGTAGTTAAATTCCTGGACTGTCATTGCTCATTAAAAGTGCTGTTATATGGGTGGAAATTGGGTAAATGTTGCATTTTATTAATATCAGCAGAACTGACTTAAATGGGTCCTGTGTGTTGTGTAGTCTTTTCTTAATCTTTATATTCATGCCCGACAGTGTGAAAGAAGCTATTTGCATATATTTGCATATATATTTGCATGGATATACAACCACACTTAAGTCGTGGCCCTCAGCATGTTCTGTGAGTATCACTGTGGCCCCCGGGGCTTCCAAAGTTGAGTAGCCCTGCTTTTGGACATACCTCTCCAGGGAGGGAACTTCAGTTATTTGGAAGAGACAGGTGTTAGTAACAGGGGATTTGATCGTTAGAAACAGATATCTGGGTTTGTGGTGACCAGGAGAACAGGGCAGTGACTTGCCTGCCTTGGGTGAAGGTTGTAGATCTCTCGAGACAGTTAGATAGACTTGTGTGTAGTGCTGGGGAGAGGCCAGTGATCATGGTACATGTAGGTACCAATGACATAGGGTAGGACAAGAGAGAGGTCCTGGAGTTCAAATTTAGGCTACTAGGTAAGAGATTAAAGTCCACGACCTCCATGGTAGGGTTCTCTGAAATGCTTTCAATTTCATGGCAGGGGAACTGTAGGATCTCAGTGCATGGATGAGATGATGGTTTAGGGAGGAAGAGTTTAGATTTATTAGGAGCTGGGGACACTTTTGGAAAAGAGGGAGTCTATACAGGAAGGATGGGCTCCACCTAAACCAAAATAGAACCAGATTGCTGGCACTTAAAATTTAAAAGGTCCTAGAGCAATTTTTAAACTTAAGTCTGGGTGAAAGCTGACAGGTGCGAAGGAGTACATAGATTGGTGAGACACATGCCTTAGGTGAGGGTCTATTAATTGAGATTCTCTATGTCAGTGGTCCCCAACCTTTTGGAGCTGCCGGGCACCCAGGAGTGGTGCCGCTCACATGCCGGGCATCCGGGGGTGGGGCCACACGTGCGCCCAGGGGTGGGGACGCACACGCTCCTGGGGGCGGGGCCACCCATACGCTGCATGCGTGGAGCTGGCGCCATCCATGCACCGCACTCCCATGTCTCGTGCACTCGGGGGCGGGACCGCCACCACCCATGCACTGCGTGCCCGGAGCCAGCGCCTGTGCCATGCGCCCAGGAGCTGGCAGCGCCCATGCTCCGGCAGCACCCATGCTCCGCGCTCCCAATAGCGGGGCTGTCCATGTGCTGCGTGCCTGGGGCCGGCGCTGCCCCTATGCCACATGCCCGGGGCCGGCACGGACCTTGCTCCGTGCACCCAGGGGTGGGACCGCCTAACCGCTGCGCGGCCAGGGCCGGCACCGACCATGTGCTGCGCACCCGGGGCCAGTGCCACCCATGCGCCCAGGGGCTGGCACCACCCATGCTCCGCACGCCCCGGGGGCGGCCGGCCCTGATCACTCGGTGGGCACACAGAAATGGCCCAGCGGGCGCCACGTTGGGGACCACTGCTCTATGTTGTAGTAGGTGATAGGGATACAGTAGCATAGTCGATAAACCGATAAGTAAAAGCTTATAGGTTAATGGTATAGACTACACAATATGTCCTGGCTTGCACCAGGTACGTGACCTACCCTTGCTGTGGCTCTGCATTTAAAGCTTATTAGGAGCTGGGTGGGCAGGCAGCCCGTCTCAGTTCTGGTTTGTGCTGGGTCCAGGAACTGCCACCCTGTGCACCTCTGATACCAATTAGCAGTGTGGAGTGGCAGGGGGCTGGTCGCG